CCAAGAAAACCAGAAAGATGGAAACAAGATACTTCCCCCCTCTTCAATAAAGGGAACAGAGGCTCAAGAGGAGCCTACATCAACAGCCAAATAGATAACCAGACGACAGACGAGCCCGGGAGCATAGCCAGACGTCGGCACTCTCTCTGTTCGTTAGATTGCACTTATTATATAGCAATTAACATAATAGTTATTATTTCGCTCATATTCTATTGTATAACGCGAGTGATAAATATAGAGTAAATTAAAATTATTCTATTATTTCGAACCCCTGATGATCCAGGAACCGTACAGATATTAATTGCCAGACTGAAGACATCTCTAATTATATTACGAGCAAGACCGGTGTTGACGTGCAATTAGAGAAAGTCAATATGAAATTTAAAAAAGATTATGTAGGGTACAAGTTTAAGATCCCTAAGGATAAATTATCTATGTTTATGGATGAGAACTTATGGCCTTGTGGGGTATCTTACCGCAAGTTTGTACAGTTTAATAACCATTGGAAAACAAGGGATGAACAGAAATTAATTACTCAAAATGGATAAAAATAACCAAAAGACACATAAAATTATGAGTTTTAACTGTAAGAGCTTAAAAAGATCTATGGATTGCATACGGCTACTGAGTAAGCAGGTAGATATAATAGCACTCCAAGAAACCTGGCTATTACCAACTGAAGTACCGGATTTGGGGTTGTTAAACAAGGACTTTTCTTATTTTGGTAAATCGGCGATGGACATTAGCAGTGGGTTATTGGGTGGCCGTCCTTATGGTGGCGTAGCCCTGTTATGGAGAAATGATTCATTTCAATCGGTGTCTGTGATCCCCTGTGTGAGTGAGCGTATTGTTGCGATCAAAGTGTGTGTCGCGGACCGGTCTATGGTATTTTTTAGTGTGTATATGCCTACAAACGAGCTTGATAATTTATGTGAATTTGTTTAATGTCTTAGTGAAATTTCTGCTATAGTTGAGAATGAAAATATTGAATCTATATATGTGTTAGGAGATTTTAATGCTCATCCCGGCAAATTATTTGGAAATGAAATGTTAAGCTTTTGCGCAGAGCAGAATTGGCTACGTGCGGACATTGAGAGACTAGGTATTGACTCTCAATCATATACTTACACTAGCGATGTGCATGGTACCTGTTCGTGGCTTGACCATTGTTTAACTACTATGGCCGCATGGCGAACAGTAGTAAATGTAAAAATACATTATGATGTCTTCTGGACAGATCACTTTCCATTGGAGGTCGAATATAATCTTGAATGGGTTAGACCCATGACTATTCCGCCGAATATTGGTAATGTAAATAAAATTATATGGGGTGAGCGCACAAGAGATCAAATTTATATGTATTTTAAATATTGTAATGATAAATTGAAATTAATAGATTTTCCTCTAGAATTAAGCAAATGTTGTGATAATATGTGTACTAATGTGAATCAAATCACAATAAATAAATAATTTATATATGTGTATTATTAATGTTTTAACTGAATCCTCTATTAATTGTTACGAAAATTTTAGTAATAAGTGTGGAATAACCCATGGGAGAATTCGACCATTGATAGGGTGGAACAAGCATGTCCGCACTGCTCACCAAGATGCTAGACAAACATTTCTCTGCTGGGTTTGGAACGGGAAACCTCGGATCGGAACTGTTTATAGTGATATGGTGGAATCGAGGAAACTATTCAAAAAAAAGGTTAAATTTTGTCAAAACCACCAGGAGCAAATAAAAATGAATATTCTTGCTACAAAACATGAGCAAAAAGACTTTCGAGGTTTCTGGAAACAAACAAGGAAATTGAGTCCGAAAACTGGTATCCCGGTGAGCATTGAGGGTGAGTGTGAGCCTGTGAAGATTGCTAACCTGTTTAAGAACCATTTCAGGGTACAATCACTTGGACAGTTAAGTGGGGGTGCGGATGCTGGTGTGGTGGATCCGAGTCGACCCTCGCTAGTACCACCTCGGATAACAGCAAAGGAAATAGCTATGATAATAAATAATATGACTAAGGGTAAGTCTCCGGGTCATGACCACCTTCAACACGCTGGTCCGCATTTGCCTAGATTGTTGGCGCTCTTATATACCTTCTGTATCAGACATTCGTAACTGCCCAGTTCTTTAATGAGAACGGTCGTTGTCCCGATTTTAAAAAACAAAACAGGTGACGTATCGGACTGTAACAACTATCGGCCGATCTCCCTGGCAACCATAACTGCTAAGGTACTCGACGCAGTGCTCGTGCGGCAGGTGAGTAATCATCTTAAATTAAGTGGTGCTCAGTTTGGTTTTAGACCCATGTTATCTACCGAGTGTGCAATCCTGTCGCTGAAGCATGTGGTAGGATACTACACGAAGAGGAATACGCCTGTTTATGCAGTGTTTCTTGATCTTTCGACCTGGTCAGATACGACTTGTTGTGGGGTAAGTTGAGGCAGACTGGCGTACCGGGACCTTACGTGGACCTGTTCTCGCATTGGTATGAGCGTCAGACGAATCAGGTAAGATGGTCAAACACACTGTCGGAGGAGTACAGGTTGGAATGCGGGGTGAGGCAGGGGGGTTTAACCTCACCGGCGCTTTTCAATTAACGCAAGCATGGAAATCGCAAACCAGGGCGGGGAATACACCTTCGATACCATCAGAGGAAACACAAGATTCACTAGCTGTGTCGACATCGAAAAGTGAAGAGTCGATCATGATGTGACATCACAACGCTCTCACATTTAACATTAAATAGGAGCTCACACAAAAAGTATGTGTTACCATGATGTTCACCATTATTTTATTATAATATGTGTTAATCGCAATCCTGGTTGTCCTCGCCGATCTTTCGTGTGTTTTCCCTTCCGGAATTAAATATAAGTGAATCTTTGTAGCTAATATGATAAATGTAATTCATTTTCTCACCCACAACTAATCATAACATATAGTAAACACTATATAAACATTTAATATTAAAATTTGTTTATCACCTTAGTCTTAAGTTCATCCTCCATTTTACTAACCCTCATCTTTTCCACCCCCGGGAACATGTACGATTTACAACTGTACTTACGGTACGGTACGGTATTTGCAATGTAAATGACACCATGCAATATGATTTGCTTGTGTGTTCATTTTCATTATATCTTATTATATTCACTTAAGTTAGTTCGCATTCAGACCTCGTACCGGGCGCGATTCTTATCCCAATCTCATCTCACCCCACTAGTTTAGTCCATTGCTAATTAAATAAATAATTATCTTTAAATATCTTAATAATTTATCCCAACCCTGAACATACATAAACAGTATACACTCGACACGAGATTTAGAAAACACACTCACACTACAAAACCATCATCACAGAAGCATGCATCACACACATACCAAAGATCAAAAAACTTAAAATACTCTCCTCTTCTCTCTGGTGGTCCAGGACCCACACGGAATTCACCGAAAGTGTTGCCAGCTTTAACCCAAAAATGGCTCCCGGGGAAGATGGGTTCACTGCGGACATATGCGAACACGCGGTCTCAGCAAGTCCTTCCATATATTTAACATTGGCAAACAAATGCCTAACACTCGGGTACTTCCCTGCCCAATGGAAAAAAGCCACGGTCATTATACTGAGGAAGTGAAGTCATATCGCCCAATGGACTATTGCCTGTACTAGGTAAAATCACGGAGAACATGATTGTAAAGAGACTTAACTGGCACTTGATACCGAGGATGTCAGATAAACAGTATGGCTTCGTCCCACAAAAAGGCACAGAAGACGCTGTACACACTGACAAATCACATTAGGAAAGGTCTGAAAGCAAAAAAGGTGGTTCTCAGTAATTTCTCTCGATTGCATTCGACAACGCTTGGTGTCCGGCAATAAAAACCAGATTAGCCGAAGAGGACTTCCCCCTCAACGTCCGGAGGATTATAGATGGCTACCTTAGTGATCGGAGAATCCGACTAATATATGGAGGAACCGCTTATGAGAAAATCACGAGCAAAGGATGGGATCCATAAGGGACCGACATTGTGAACCGAAACAATAGTGCACTGAACGTGAACCGAAACAATTTTACAGGCCTGTATAAATAGTAAATTAATTAACCAATAGTTGACTTTAACTGCGGCTGAGGGAAGGTTACTGTATCAAATAGCCGAACCGACCCTTACCAACCCCTGTCCTTTTTTACAGGACTGTATATTCCATCATTTTTATTTCTTTGTTTCATTTTGTTTTACAACATAAATTGTTTTATACTCGATGCTGTTTCAAGCACTTAACTTATGAAACATTGTAATTAATTTATACAATAGCAATAATTATAGCCTACTAAATTTGTATTATATACTATTCTCTTTCACCATTGTACTTGCTACTGATTAACATAGAAATATTGTCTACTTTTACTTTTTATACAAATATTTCACTGTATTCTAATTTTATGAGCCAACCTAAAATCTACCGAGCCTTATTAAATAAAGCTCTGGAGCCTGGATCTTTCCCAAAACAGTGGAAGGAGGCGACGGTGGTGATTCTAAGAAAACCCGGAAAACCTAAATATACAGAACCGAAAGCCTACAGACCCATCGGCCTCCTCCCTGTTATGGGATCTACGAGAAGATGTTGGTTGAGAGCCTAAAGTGGCACCTTGTGCTAAAGCTATCTAAGAAGTAGTATGGATTCATTTCGCAGCGAAGTACCGAAGAGGCCTTCTATACTCTAATGGATCGAGTACACAAAAACCTAAAAGGGAAACTCATAACACTTATCATCTCATTAGATATAGAGGGCGCTTTCGACAATGCATGGAGGCTCAAAATACGCATCCGCCTTGCTGAACAAAGATGTCCCATCAACCTAAGAAGGGTGTATGACGACTATCTCCAACTTCGTTATGCTGGGGAAGAAGTCGAATGAGTCACTACAAAGAGATGCGTGCAGGGATCCATAAACGGCCCTATGCTCTGGAACGTCATACTGGATCTGATACTGGGGCAAATGTCCGACGATAATAAATTTTGTCAGGCATTTGCTGACGACGTGCTGGTGGTAGTGGAGGGTGACAGTGGAGAGGAAGTCCAAAGGAAGGGTAATAAAGCGCTTGAACTAGCTAAGAAATGGGGCGACAACAATAAATTAAAATTTGGACCAAACAAGACTCAGGCAATGATCATCACAATAAAATATAAATTGAACTAGCAAATAAAATAAAAATTCTTGCCTTGACAATTGACAGTAAACTTACGTTCAATGAACATGTGTCAAACATTTGTGTAAAGGCAGCCAATTTATCTTATCAGGTGGCAAAGGCAGCTGAGCAAACCTGGGGACTAGATCCTGACATAGTTTCCACAATATACACAGCCGTGGTGGAACCCACAATAACCAATGCAGCAGCAGCATGGGCCAGGGCAACCGAAAAAACATGTGTTCCTAAAAAACTAAACGCAATCCAAAGAGGCTTCACCCAGAAGATAGTTAAGGCAAACAGGACTGTCTCCCTGAACGCCGCTTTCCGGAACACTTCCACTTGAGCTTCGTATAATATAAGTAGCCACCCTATACATAGCGAAACATATAAACTAAGAACAAAACTAAAGTGAAATAGTGAAGTGAACTTATTTGTGCAAAAAGTAACGGTACACGTGCCAAGACTTGGTACAACTCTGTCTCATTCAGTGTCTGTGACGCGTGTCACTAGTACAACATTTTCGACTTAGTATAGAAAAGACATTTGGTCAAATCGATTTATGTGCCGGCGACGCACTCATAGGGTTCGAGTTCAAGCCTCAGTAGTGAACAATTTATTAGATTTTTTTTTCTCAATTTATAATAACTAAATCAATACTTGATATTTCATTTTAAATAAGAATATCATATATGGGGACACATACTTGAAATAACAACATTTGTCAATAGGGGGCAGTGTCCGCAAGGTTGTTTAAGTAAACGCGTAAGGAAATAGGCATACTAGTGCACAAAATTAATAAAAGAAAGTTATAAAAAACAAATAAAAAATAAATAATGTGCTTTATCTGGGAGTCATACCACAAAGATAGGAGTGATTATATGATCAATTATTTAACACAACAGTGATCTTATAATGAAATGAGTGTCCCAAGGAAAAAGTTAACCCAGCAGGACATTCACCGCAGCTTGTTCGTCCCCAGGCCTAGAAGCAATTCCTAAGGAAGTAACCCTCCAGAAAGCTCACAAACCGTGACAGAAATATGTCAGATCTTTTAGTTGACAACATATTTAATACCTTACGTTTAGTTCCTGAGTTTGATGGTAACCCGAATGTCCTGTACTAATTTCATTAATTTATGTCATCAATTGGTGGCAAAATTTATAACAGCGGATCTGGGTTATGAATTAAGTAATCTAGCACTTATCAATGGCATTCTTAATAAGGTTACTGGGCCCGCCGCGCTGACTCTAAGCTCAAATGGAACGTAGTTCCTTAATAAATCATTTTGCCGACCACCGTGATGAGACCTCTCTGTATATTGATTTATCTCTCATTAGTCAGGATCCCTAAATCTTTTTAGTATCATTATGACTTACGTTAATTTACACAATTCGGTACAGAGTACGGTAGAAGCCAAGAAAGCCGCATATAAAAAGTTAACATTGCAAGCCTATTTGCGTGGCCTTCGTGATCCACTTGGGTCTCGAATAAGATGTATGCGACCTAAATCGATAGAAAAGGCCCTTGAATTTGTTCATAAAGAACAAAACACTTTATATATTAAACAGAGTACCTACAGCAGTCCTGATAAGAAATTGTACAATAATTTTAATAATCAGCACATGGCCAATGCTCAGCGTAAATTTAATTTTATGCCTAATTTTAATCCTTTAGATTTTTAAATCCGCAACATTTAATTCTAAAATGTGAGACTCACTATTCAATCATTGTCTATGTAGTTATAGGAATTGTTAAAATGTACTGTATTTTTAAGATTTTTCTTATTATAAAGAAACGCAGCCGTCTCCTATCCAGATCCTCTCGATCAAATCTTGCTGAACTACCCACAACTCAAAATATCCCTGTCACCTCTTATATATCTTAGGAATCCATAAAATCCCATCACTGTAATCCTGAAATTAATCGTACAGAACATAGCCCAGCACCTAGCATCAGAAGACACCTATAAAGGATATCTTTTCCGAAACTTTTAAGTTTAGCCTTATCCAGGATATGTTACACCCTTATTCTGTTAGCCTTAGAGCTGACTTAATTCTTTATTTTCGACACATAAACATTTTGCATTCTATAAAACCAACATCCTCTCAAGCTCCTGTTAGTTGTTTTCTATTCCTGTTTCCTGTTTTTTTAAAGCTATATTCACGTTTAGTTATAACAATGCAATATTTCCAAAGCTTCCGGTATGGGAAAAGTATTACAAAAGTGTTAACTAATTGTTTGGGATGAATGCACGATGGCATATAAAAAAATTCGGCGGGCGGAGTGGGGGGTGTCGCAACTTATACGACTTAAGCCTCGTATCCACTTGAGCATGCTCGGGCGAATGAGCGGCTCATTTGGCCGAGCCGCTCAAGTGGAGACGCCTGAGCACGCTCAGCCCGAGCAAATCCGGGCGCGCTCAGGGCGCTCAGTATTCGCTCGGCGCTCAGTGTGAACGGTTGTTTGAGGCGAGCGCGTCGAATTCCCCGAGTTTTAATTACGTTTACTTTTTCTGTTATTTGAAAAATGAGTGGCTTGTGGGATAACGAGACTTGTTTAACATTAATTGATGCGTATGAATCAAAGAGGGTGTTATGGGATAGTACATACGAAGAATACTATAATCGCATAAAAAAAGAAGATGCTTGGCGTGATATCAGTGAAACATTAAACATTAGTGTAGACGATGTAAAAAAAAATTGTAAGCTTGACAGGTTCATTTAGACGGGAACGATCAAAGCAAAAACGAAGTTCTAAAACGGGAAGTGGTAATTGTTATTAGTGTTTATTTGATCCGTTAACATGTTATATTTATTTACATACCATATACATATACATGAATTACATAATTCAATATTTTTGTTTCAGGTCAACATCAAGCGTATGTGTCAAAATGGTTTGCATTTTATCGGATGAAATTTTTAATGGATAAAAGTGAACGAAATGAAACTCGAGATAGTTCCAATGTAAGTTTATTTATTTTCCTGGTTTTTTTTATATTATGTGAAAATTAACTGAACTGTAATGAACTGCGTCAACCAACTCAGAAAATATTATTGCAATTTTGAGATCAGCTAATTTTCAGAAAATTCTTATAAGCAAACTAATTTAATTAATATTGTATTGTCAAGGTAATTCTGCATTTGTTATAAAATGCCGTGCGATATGCAAACGAATTTCTTTGATTTGGTTGGCAGATCTCCTGGGTACGTGTGGCAAAGAAGAGAAGGATTGTAATGGCTCATCGTTCCTAAATGTACCTGGAATAATCTCGCCAATTTCTTCCCTATCAAAATCCCAATGGGACAGAAGTATTGTCTAGAATAGTTTCTTTGACGCATGAAGTTATGCAAATGCGTAATAGCCATTACAACTGAAACCACATTATTAGTGTCCATTGCAATCGGTTTACGTAATACTCTGAAAACGGATGCGATAATACCAAATACATTCTCGACGAACGTCTAGCTCTTGAATGTCGATAGTTGTAAATTCGTTCGAGAGAACCTCGTATATAATTATTACCAGCAAATGGTTTCATTGTATATTAAGAGCAAAAGCGTTGTCTCCTACAATACAATAAGGTACTTTTACATTATAAGGAATTTGCAATATCTAAGGTGGCGTACTATTCAAAGTTTTATTTTCAAGTTCTCTATATAAATTGGTATGTTTAAATACACCTCCATCAGAAATTCTACCCTTACATCCAACATATATAAAATTATAGTCAGCATCTATTACCGCAAATAATACGATATTAAATAAATATTTATAGTTTCGATATTCAGCTCCACTATGGGGCGGTGCTATGATTTGAATATGCTTGCCATCCATTGCCCTAACACAATGAGGGTAGTTCCACTTTTTTTAGAAGTTTCGTGATATATCTAGCCATTCACTTTCTGTTCGAGGAACCTGAAGCAGAATAAGAAACCATTAACAAATTACAATGCATCAATTCCTTATTACATTTTTTTTAACAGGAAAACCGAACCCAAGACGTTTTGGATGTTGAAAATGGTGATAGTCAAGGCATTAATGACAATGACGCAAGCAGTGAAATACGTCCTGCAAAACAAAAAAGTGCTAAGAAAAAGAAAATAGAATATGACAATCTAATGGTAATGAGTGCATATGAACTTTTGAAGAAAACAGCGGACAGTGATGACCCGTACACAAGTTATGGATTGCATATTGCCAACGAACTAAAAAAATACAATAAAGGTACCTTAGCCTGTGTCAAACATGCCATTAATAATATAATATTCCAGGCAGATATGGGAAATTATTCACCTAATGTCAATTGTCGACGTGAATATTACAATCAGCCACAACAATATGGGTATACTACAAGTACATCAACTGTTTCATCGCCACCTGCGCCACCGTCACCAACTTTGGAATCGACTAATCGACAATCACTAGCAGAAACAGCAAATGCTGATAACCAATTCACTGAATTGGAATCGCTGTTAACCTGTCAGAATTTTTTTAACATTTAAAAACTACATAATTATTCTATGATAATTTTTAAATTTAATAAAAAATATTTCAACCGCATTTTGCATTTATTTGATAAACTTACCTACCTACTTAGTTTAAAAAAAAACATATAACTATAAATAATCGAATTAGCTTACCTTAATGTAATCTTTGAGTGCCTGTATAATAGCTTCACACACTACCGGAACAAAACGGCTTATACTTTGTTTAGATACTTTGAACATGTATTGCAAGCTGGTATAGGAATCTCCTGTAGCTAAAAATCTTAAAATTGTCAGTAACTTGTCCTCCGGTGATATGGCCTCACGCATAATGTGTATCTTATTTTTTTATTTGCGGTCCGATCAATGACAGTAAATATTCAAAATCAATCCTTGACATTCTTGTAAAGTTGTTAAATGGTTCGTTATCTTCTTTGAAAGTCAATTCACGAATTATATTAGCCGAGTTGTTTTTTCGATGACGATACATTTCTCTCATCCACCACCTTGGTGGTTTTCTCTTCTTCTTTATGGCACAGTGAATGATTATAAAGGCAGCAGCAGCTACACGGACACGTGAAGACATGACGGAGCCGAGCATATACTGAGCAGCCTGAGCACAGCTTTTTCAATGTTGAGGCTCGTTCGACCAAAATATTCATTTCGTTCCTCTAAGTGGATACGAGGCTTTAGGGCCGATTTACATTATCTTAGTGTTTAGGAGAGTATTTTAGTACAACTTGAAAGGCAAGTTCTTTAGTGCTTTAGTGTGTTGCGAGTGAACGTTTACATTTCTTCCAGTAGAGTATCATTACAGCGCCACAATGAACACGCGACGTCGGCAAATACGCTCTATTCTACCCAAAATACTAACTGTAGTTATGGAAGAAATAGAAGACGAGATTTTATTCGAAATAAATAAACTTAATATAAATAATAAATAAAATAGCTTCTTTTAAGGCAGTGTATGCCGAATGCCTAGCCTGTTTGTTTTTGTATAAATTGTTTGTAACGTTCCACTAACATTCGTGAACAACATATTCAGACACAAATTTGATAGTTGTATCTTCCGACCATTTAGTCATCTTTAAAAATCAAAAAACACGCACGCGTTTCACGGCACTTGTGCACTCTCCTAAAGATTTTACTAAATTACGTGTTTACACACAACGAGGGAAGATCTCGGGGGTTGTGCGGGCGCGGGAGGGGTATCACTTGAAACAAAAATAAAAAGCGATTCTATTTTGATTCAACTTGAAAGTCAAGTAGAACCGTACTAAAGCAAGTAGCGTTTACATGTTTCAACTAAAGTACTGTCCTAAAGCACTCTGCTAAACACTAAGATAATGTAAATCGGCCCTTAGGCGAAGTATATTGGCGGAGGGCCGAAGCTAGGGAAAGAGGGAGTGAGTGCGCGTCGAGCTCTCGACCGAGTCGGACGTGTCATTTGTGAAGCGCAGAAGCTGTTATTGCTATGCGTTGAAGAACCTACTCTGTATTGATCGTCTTTGGTTTGAAGAATTTCGTTTGTGTCTTGAAGAAGAGGAGAGTTTGTGTCTTGCGTTGATTAATTGCCGCATTATTTTATTGGTTTTGGTATAATTATTCAAAGTCATGCGTTGATTAATTTCCAGTCTTCGGATAATAGGTCCAAAAGAATTTGTGGTTTTAATTTATGTATGTGGTGTATAAAACTCATTAATATATAAGTAAACATAATAATTACTATATAAATAATTGACTTCTTATAGATTTGGTGAAACTATCTAACCACTTTACGTAATTTTCGTCATTTCATTAATATTAATATGTATTTGTTGTCTTGAGTGTCGTTGTGTGTGTGTCTTGTTGTTGTCTGTAATATAAACAATATAAACAATAAGTAAAGAAACTTGTATGTTTCTTTATTGTATACTAGATATCGCTATCAGCCATCGCAGTTGGTTTGAAGTTTGACCGAAGTAAAAGTCATCGCCATTTAATTCAATATTGTTTAATTGTGAGATTATTTTAAAAAGCTCAAAAAGGGATTGATAATTTTAATAATAGACTTTTAAGGGCCTAATCGACGGACGAGTAAGACCGCGGTTTTATGGCTCGTCGGTAAAGCTCGCCGGTGTATCATTGCAAAACCACGGTTTTAAATACCGCCGAGCCTGGCTCGCGGCTCGTCGTCGTTCTATATTTTTTACTCGGCTCGCCATGCAAAACCGCGTGTCGATCACGGCCAGCGAGCCGAGTCACTTTTCGGCGACAGCGTTAGAGGACGGATGTGCGCCAGAAGAGCTGTGTACCTACCTACTACAAACTTCGCGTGCGTGCTCAGTCCGTGTCACAATAATGGATCTACGTACTTGCAGCCACGATTTTATAATACAATTTATAAATGCCTTTCGAGACTGTCCCTGTTCATGGCAAACTAAATCAAGCGAGTATAAAAACAAAGCAAATAGGCTTGCAGCATATAATAAACTCGTGGATATTGCAAAAAAATATGAACCAAACTCGGATATAACCGATATTAAGAAAAAAATTCAGTCACAACGAGCTTCCCACAGGAAAGAACGAAACAAGGTTAAAGCAAGCATGAGAACCGGCTCCGGAGTTGAAGATTTGTATCAGCCAAAGTTGTGGTATTATAAGGAGCTAGAATTTCTCAACGATCCGATCGAAAGTAAGTATATAGGTAATATAGGTGCGTACCTATCAATTTTACTATAAATAAATAAATAAAAAATTGGTTATTGACAAGTAGGTAACAATTGTGGTATGTAAGTATGTAGTTCTTTATTAACACATAAATTTATATATAAAAAAACCTGCTGTTTCATACATTGCATCGGGAGGTTATTGAACTTTTCTATGCAACAGCTCATTTTTTTTCGCGATTTCGAAGTTGCTCCCATAGTAAAAGTTGTTCGTATTGATGGGTAGAATAAGCCCTTAAAATATGACTACATCTAACCGTTACACCCTGTATATAAAAAAAATAACATCAACTAATGAAACAAATATGACTGTAATACAGACAATTATTTTACAGCTACAGCATCAATGTCAACTCCACGAAGTGACGACGATAAGACTCGTAGTCAAGTATCTTTTCTTTTTTTTTTCGTGGGGAAATGCGTTACGCATACCCTCCCGCGGCATGGTTGACCTGGTGGGGAAGGGTTAGGTGGGACTCGCTGTTGTGCATACCCACAAAAACCCCACGGCGCCACCAGCAATCGCCCGGGGCAGGACACGGTAACAGCGTAGCGATCAGCCGTTAATATTACGGTCCTCTACGGCCACGAATGATGTGGAATGGACCTTGGCACAGCAAGGGCCTTTCACATCGGCCAATCCCAAGTAACACAAAACAACATTATAAGAAGCGTACAACAGCATGGACTTACGTGCAAAACAGTATATGAGCAGCATATGTAGCACTATATCAGCCGTTTATAAGTTTATAAGTGTCATAAGCTCAATTTGGGCCCCAAATAATACGGCTTTGAGCATTTTTAAATATTATTAGTGCTGCTAACCAGCGCTTATAATGTTATTGAAGACAGACATTAGTAAAGTTGTGAGACAGCATATTCTAATGTAAAAAGCATTTTTTTAGATGTTAGTACAGCTTTTATACAGCTTTTTGAATTACAATGCCAAAGTTACGTTTTATTCTAAGGCTGAACGTTTTATTTTCTTTGTATAAAAATATTTGAAAAAACTTATCGAAACTTATATGTCCGAATTGATTATATATATTTCGTTTAGTGTATTGCAGTGCATTGGTGTTGTGCGGAGACGTTTTAATGTGTCTTCATTGAAAATAATTTATCATAAGGTAAGACAAACATCAATTTTATTTTGTTTTGAATGCAAATGAGTTGGGGGTATTAGTCTTATGTGAAAATATATATATGTTTGTGGCTTATAATTCACGCGCCGTCACAGAAATGCTTTTTAATAAAAAATAGGGACAAATTTAGAATCGACATCAGCTGACCTTTTGTAATTTTTTAACGATTTCATTAATTTTAACGTATAAAATTGTTTCTATCGATACTTCGCTTATAAGAAAAACATAAGTAGTATTTCATTCATATGTGTGTTATAATTTTATTTTTTATGTTCGAGAAAACAGAAAGCAAATGGCGTCATGTAATATTAATGTTCTAAACTTTCAACTAGTGTCTTTTAATGTTGTCAGTCTTATTATAGTATAAAAAAATAGCTTAAGTCATTCAACCTACATAAAAAATATCTAAGTGATATCTTTAGCATTATAGTAACACTTTTTAGGCATGTTATAATGTTTATTACCCTTATACGTCATAAAAATGGATTGCTATAGTGTTAATCAGGGTACCGAAATAATAATTTAGAATCCCTTAATTACATGATACCCTACTCCACGTCTTTCATATTTTATCTGTCTCCAGTTAGATAATTTGCCAAGTGTAAGTATAAAATCATTATCACAATAAATGAGTTGGGGAATTCCCTGAATCATGTGCCCGAATAGAACGAAAGGGACGTGCGACTTAAAGTCGATAAAACAACAATCCCTACAAAACGTGACGTCACTTGCACCAAGAGAACGACCTCTATTCATTAGTAGTACTTGATTCCTGTCCCTGTGACGACGCGCGCTCATTTGCTAAATATTGTGTATTTTATTTTTGAATTAATTTAAACACCGGCGTGATCACGATCCCTTACAGGTACCAATTTAGTTGTAGTGTGTATAGGAAAGGAATAATAAGGTAGATTACCTACTAAGGTAGGTATACCGTATACTCCTACGCTAAGCGTGCCACTACATAAAAGTACCTAGTGAATTGAAACACGATATTATAATCTTATTTTTCGCACATTGTAATTAAAGGAACTTTTTGTAAATACGTTTTAAGGGCACGCGTTGGACTTCCTTTTTGGCGGGAAAAGGAGAGCCGCGTTTTTCAAATAAAATTTTGTTTTATTTTAAATTAAATTGTCTTTTTCAAGACAGAGTGCTTTTGGAGGAG